ATTATGTGCACAGACCCATAGACTAATCGAATCAAATCAATGTGAAGAGTCTATTTCACGAACCTTTTAAAACAAGATGTGAGTTACAACTGGAACAGAACAAAAGCTCCTTTTCCTTAGCACTGAGAAAGCACCATAGATGGAATTTTCCCTTCACTGAAAGAAGGTATCAGTGTTTGTGATTTAGTGTGTGTTGGGAGGGGCAGCACTATGTGTATGGCCCAAGAGTAAATATTTCAATTTACCAAAGGGAAATATTATTTGACTAGAGTGTCAAGCATTTCTATAAAGGCTTTTAAGAAAAAATACATTTATTTATGAAATATCTATATCAATAGGTAGATACATTTTAGATAAATACCTCCCCTCATCTGTTTTTGCCTCCTTAGGAAATACTGTATTTCTAGAACCTAGAGCCCTTTTGGTGTAGTGTAGGGGTAAAGACACTTTTTTCCTTTACCCAATTTGTCCCAACTAATTTCAGGCTATAAAACATATTTATATCTTAAAACTGACTTTGGACAAAAATTCACTTAAAATATGAAGAACTCTAAAAAGCTGACCTTATTACTAAAAGGTTGAGCACATGAGAGGGACTTCCCTATTTTTCTGGCAAGCTACTAAAGCGCAGGTAGTATTCACAAACAGGCAGAGCTAAGTAGAAGTGCAGAGAATTTCATTTTCCAGGGAGTTATTAGAAAGGCCACATGGATCTAGATGCTCATGTGGCATCCTGACACAGCACACTGAGTGAGTATACACACAAAGGAACGGAGTTCCCAGTACCTGTTACAAACTGTAATTCAGAAAGAAAGGGTAGACAGGCCAGCTCCCAAGTATGTCACATCAAAAATATCTAATTGATACTGCCATTTGCAACAACATGGATGGACCTTGAGAGAATAATATTAAGTGAAACGAGTCAGGCAGAGAAAAAGAAATACCACATGTTCTCACTTATTGGTGGGAGCTAAAAATAAATTAATTAATTCACTCACATACACACACAAAAAGAAATCCGGTGGGGGGGAGAAGAAGATATAACAACTACAATCTTTTGAAGTTGTTACAACAAGCAAACGGAAAGGACATTCTGGGGGGGGAGGGGGGAGAGGGAGGAGGGAGGGAGGTTTCGGTGATGGGCCATAATAACCAACTACATTGTATATTGACAAAATAAAAATTAAAAAAAAAATCTAATTGAGTATTTCAATAGTACTACAAAAATTATTAACAAATAGAGTAACTTTTTGGTCTAGAAGGGTTTTAAGTCATGTCTTTAAAATAAGGCTTATATCACAGTTTTGCACATGCAGGTGTTCTCTCAGCTTGGTAGAGTTTGGATAGGTTTTTGATATAGTCCCACAAATGCCACACAGTTAACTAAAAGAACACATAGTACACCCCCAGCCATGCACTAAGATACATGTTGGATAAAGCATGTCACAGTGAACCACTGGTATGCACTGCTGCACTCCAAAATTAATGTTGTTTTATGGAAGTTCAGTTAATAGAGGAATTTTACTTATTTACTTTTAGTAGTATTTTACTTTTAAAAAGGGAGAACATTGTATACCTGAAAGTCTATTGTCAGCAGAGATGTAGTTAAAATTGGAACTTTGAATTGGTTTCTAAAAAATAACCAATGTAGTAAACCAAGGCCTATAATTAATCTGGGTTAGAGTTAAGTAAGTAACATGTATATTTGTTTATTGAGTGTTTTGATGTCTTGTGTAATTTGGGTTGTAGTTTTGCAGAACTTATATTTCACATTTATCATCATGATGCTGCAGCTTTCTGCCACAACTGAAGGCATTGCTATAGTTCTCTTTCTGTATAAAATCTTAGCACTCATTTACCAGGCAGCAAAGGGATACTGAACTTCAACTGACCCTCACGAGGAACTCTAAGAACCTCCTGTGCTCACAGTCATTGGAAGTTCATCAAGGCAAAAGAAGCTGTTCAGTCAATGTGGGCTGTAGCAAGGAACTGATTCGCCATCCTGAAGCAATTATCTTATGAGCTCATAGATGTGATGTAACGTTTAAACTTCCGTCTTAGGACATAAGACACTTCAGGCACCCTCTACATCCATCCACATCCCTAAAAGCTGAAATGCTGATTCACTCTGAGGATGATTATTTATATGAAATAGTTTCCAGTCCAATTATTCAATTGCATTAGGAAAAGAAAGGAATGTACCAACACCAAAGCTCTTGAATGCATCTGCTTGAAATAGTCAGGGTTTATTCCTAAAAGTATTTGCAGGGGTGAGGGTAGACAGGTGATGAGTGGCAGAGGAAGAGAAATTCATACTTGAAACACTAATTGCACCAAAGATAACAAGAGATGGTTGTCTAGGATTTACAAAATGACACAAATATAAACTTTTTCAGGTGTCTTGTTCTTTTAAATACAAATTTAGTTAGGCCATTGGTAAAAATGATCTATAGATATTTAGGCTGTTGGTAGATGGAAGTATTGTGTGTGTGTGTGTGTGTGTGTGTGTGTGTGTGTGTGTGTGTGTGTGTGTAGTGGCCAAAAGGTTGAAAAATCTTGGGACTTTAGTGTTAACATTTATAAGTAACACAGCTCAACGTCAACAGAAGCTCACTTAGTTAACCCTGGGCTAGTTCCTCTATTTGCTAAATTTGATTTAAAAACCAGGATCTCTTCATGAGATTAGGAATAATGAATATTCTTTTTCCACATGCTTTACAGAAAGAAAATAGGTGTTCTTTTTCTTGAGCTCTGTGACATCTTTCTCTGGAAACGTCTCACTGAATTATGGAATGGAATTCACAGCAGGTGGAAGTTTCAGAGCCTAGAATCAATTAAGAAAGCTCCACTTCCATCAGAGTTTGGAAAACAGAAAGTACCGAATGTTCCTTGGCAGAGATTCTTGGGCTACGGCTGCATCACTCGCCTCTGACTGCCATAAAATGGTTCAGCTTTTGGGATGTGTTTGGCTTAGGTCTTCTGGTCTAAGGGCCAGTTAATTTTCATAGCAATCAGTTCTTTAGGGAAGGGGTTTTAAGAGAGCAAAACTTGGCTCTTTCCCTTTCCCTTTCTGCCCTTTCCCATTTTGCTTTCCATTTTACAATAATATACATATCAAGGTCTTCTGAGAAAGCCATCCAAGATATCCTATCTAGGTCTTACATCTATATATGTGTGGGACGGGGAGGATTTTCTGGCTGTATTGCTTCCTATTAGACTGTAAAAGTGAGTTTAATAGCTCTATCATGTAACTTGGCCACATTCTGGCCCAGGTTTATAGAAATATGACAATGACATGCAAACAGGCCACTGTTGCAAACAAATCTGTTTTTATGCCCCCTGCTCTTCTCTTCCTCTTCACTTTAATTTCTGAGATATTGAAGTTGGTTGTCCCATTAGAATTTAGCAAAACATTAATGTTTTCTTGTCTTCACTAAGCTAAAGCTTGCCTTGTAGGGTGCCAAAGTGGAAATTTGCTATCAATTAGTGGATCATAAACTAAGAAGGTAAGAAATAATGTGGACATGTTTAAAACATCCTAAATGCTTTCCTGTAATTTTCATCTTTTATCATACTAATAATTTATGTGACCTAGTTCCCTGACTTGTAAGCACTTATTCTCCAGAGATATCTTTATATGTATGCATGTTTCCCTATCAATACCCTTGCCCAACAAACTTTCACCCAATACTTTCATGGGAAGCTTCTCTATTTTTAAAAAACAGAGAAAGAAGTAAAACCTTTAACACAGTCATCCAAAAAAAAAAAAAGGAAAATCCACCAAATGGAGCTGTCCTTCCCAAACTGCCAAACAGTACCTGCTCCCTTCCTAAAATCCTTGCTGTAAATAATGCTGGAGAGTGATACAGACACCAAGGTTCCCTCCAGTCTGTGCTCATCACCATCGGAGGGATTCATTGTTTGCTTGTTATTCATATATGGCCTTCAGGAAGTCTGGAATAAAAAATCTGGATGTTCAGATGGTTTCTCCCCTCTCTCAAATTGCTATGGATCCTAAGTATTTCTGTAACTCTCAGCTACAAAGAATGCTTTCTGTGTAACTTAAGCATGTTTAGAGACTTACATAATGGAGATATGCTTAGAATTATGAACATCTGAATTGAAAAAGATTCAAGATGAAAATCGTCTTTTCCTCAACTTGGGACCCAATGAAATATTGTTTAAATGCTTCTAATTAGGTAAAATAAATTAGCTGAGTTTTGAGCAGAAGGCAATGGTTGAGGAAGCATATCTACATCCTATGGGAAGAGGAGCCTTAACAGGCTCAACATTATCTCTATTTCAAGAGTTGGTAATGGTTCCAGAAATGATGGTGGTGGTGGGGGTAGTGGGGTGGGTGTGTGTTATGAGGAACAAGTCATTAAGGAAATGCGGGCAGCTCAGACCTTAGAATTCTATAGCTACTCATACCCTTCTTTGTTAAATTGCTTGTGGAATAACTTGCATTCAGTAGATACCCCTCAATCGGTTCAATGCTGTTAAATATTCAGAGAGATGGATAGAATCAGTGGAAAGAGCAGTTTCGGAGTAGGGTATTTGCATATTTAAACATGTAAACTAAAATTATTGTTTAAATCTAGTTTCAGTAAGGTGAGTATTAATGACTTAGGAAACTTGCAAGTACCTTAAACACAATATTTCAATTTCTTTATAGTCAATGGTCTCCTTGGTTATGAATAGCAATGAAAAATAGACACATTTCCTAACAGTAAACTGACCAGCCCAATGACAGTGTCTCAAATCAGAATCTAATTTCCACATGATTTTCAGTTGAGAGTAGAGCAAATCAAGTCTCCTGCCATCTGCCCCACTCACATACACACACATCGGCAGTTCCTGGTCATGATCCCTGCGAGTGAGTAGAATTTGAATCCATGGCACAATAGTCAGTTGCAGTAAAATTATAGTCTGAGGTTCCAGCAGTAGCTTAACTGAAAAGAAATTTGAAATGAAAAGAGCCTAGAAGAGAAATAAATAACAAGTCACATGCAAGTACCAGATGTTTATAGATGAATAGTCCTTACAAATTTAAGATCACATATTTGCCACGTATTAACACAGGAAATCTCTCAAGAATTGAACGCATGGATAAGCCATTGACATCAAAGACTTCCTTCAAATAATTATTAGGCAGTATAAATAAAGGCTAATAGACCATTTATAAATGCTGTTTGTTGGCAACTGGGGCCCCCAGGAGCTGCCTATGTGCATAGGGACATTAACAACCACAGTTGGGTTGCGGCGGAGGAGGAGTTTCCTTGAGTCTTGTGTTCTGCTTTGCGGCAGTGATGGCTGGATCGGTCTCCAGACTCTCTGACATTTTGTCACAGATGATATCCACAAGGCGCTCAAATGTCTGCTTGACATTAATGTTATCCTTGGCACTTGTTTCAAAAAACTCAAATCCTGGAAGAAACACACAGAAATGCAGCTTGGTTATTTCATGTTTCTGGAATGAAATGGGACTTGATTATGGTTTTGAATGACGGTGAGTTGATGGCGGGACAGCAGTGAGTGGTGGGTTTGGTTTGGGTAGGAGATGAGAGGTGGGCAGGAGGTGCCATTTGAACCAATGCTACCGTCTTGCTACCCACTAACCAGAACAAAAGAGTTATAAAGAGGAATTGGTGATGCTCATATTCTACTTTTCTCTATCTATTCATTTATGCTACCAGCAAGGCTGAATACATAAATATATATTATTTTAAAGGAGTTAAGTGTGTGTGTATATATATATATATA